TCCAACCTAGTGTTTCTGTGATTCTATGATTTCTGTGATTCTGAAAATGTCTCTGAAAGATGTTAGTTATTTGACAATTATGCATGTAATAATACAGTCTACAGCTATATTAGGTTAAAAAGCAATACATGTCAAGCTTTGCATATCATGGCATCTGCAAAATACTATTTGATGTCCCTGAGGAGAAGTTGTCTTCATAGGCATGCACAATTTGATTCTCCCTTATGTTGTTACACTATAGTGTCTAAGCACAGCGAGCATACTTGTGACTCTCTCTAGAGAGCAACTGTGTTTTTCCTAGCCTGTCTACTCTATATGGGTTTCCTCTGCTTTAGAGATTAGAATGGATTTACCCTCTTATTGGAAGTCTATGGTCTGTTGTGTTGAGGTGATAATAAACTTTTGTTTGTTTCTTTCTAGAGAACATTTCGAGAGATTATGTTCCTGCAGGTAATGTCCATTTTTCTTTCTCCTGTCTGATTTTTTATTACCTCTGATGTTGTTCACATATTTTCTTCCCATTCTTTTTTAAAATGCATGATCAGTGTTGACAACTCTATTAGTGGACTTACCATGACTGGGCAAAAACACCTGAATGAAATGAAGAGTTTGTCTTATTTTTCCTTTGAGACATGCTCTGTTCTTTCACAGTTTGTAGCAGTATGTCTACTCTAGGATCTTCATATTGACTGGCACTTTGTGTCACTTCTTATTTCTTTGTGGACAAAAAGCGTTTTTCTTAAATTTTAAATGCTATGATTCAGAGGTAAGGGCTGGGGTGTGGAAGAGATTTACATACCAAAATTTTTTTCCTCTGTCATGTGGGAAGCAACTTGACCTCTTGAAATAATCAAAGCAAAACTAAAAGGGAAGTTCTGTATGGAATTACTTAAGGCTGCTCTTGTTTTGATAAAATTGACCACACACTGTGCCTAATTACCTTACCAGTGGCAGTGGCGTTAAAATTATCTGTCCATTCCTCCACAGACTTACCATGTAGAAACATCAATGTTTTTGAATAGTGATAATGTTATAACTATGACTTTCTAAGGACACAAGCAAGGCAGGGCTTATAGGAAGAGGTATTCCCTAAGACTGCCAAGTTTAAATAGGAGACAGATGAGGTTTTCTACTTTTTCACCATTCTTTAAGCCTCAAATAGAACCCACAAACTTAAGAGCTAAAAACATATGAGAATTCCTTAGTTAGTTTCCTGTAAGTTATATCATCTCTGAAAGTACAGCACTTCTGGAGTAGATGGGTGAAGGAGGAGGAGTTGGGAGAAAAAAGGGTATTTCTCCTGAAGGAAAGAACGAGTCATTTTGGGGGAGGGAGGTTAATGTGCCATCAAGCCCTTAATTTCATGACTTTTGGTCCTCAATAGACTTAAGAATTTTATTTTCCACCTCCTATTTTTGAAGGTATTTTATAGCTCTTCATTGAGGTTCAGGACTGAGAGATCAGAAAGGGAAAGATGTAAGAAATATGCTTTCACTGGTAACTGGATGTTTGTCTTAATTTGCTTTGTCTGTCTAAATTCCTTCCTGTGCATAATGATTGCTTAGTTTAATCTGTATGTTTATCATAAGGGTATTTGATGGATTGGATGCAGTTTATTGTAATTGAGAAGTGTTGATGTAGAATCTGGGCATTTTGATGATTCTCTTCTGGGTGATACGTAGTGTGCTGGTCATTATGCTACTTGCAGGTTTTATGTTTATTGTTCAGTATAGTTGTAGATGTATTTGGTGCATTGTGGGCCACATTTTAGAATGTAATTTTTGGTAAGTACTTTAGTGATAGCATTTTCTTTAAGCAAAGATAAGTAAAACTGGCTCTGACAAGATTTTTTTTCAGGGTAGGATGTTTTTTTAGTATAGATCAAAACTTGTTCACTACTTTCCGTTATCAGTTCCAGGGCAAGACAGTGTGAGGCAATGTGGTTTTCCTTCAGTGTGAAGTAAGTTCTTAAATAGTACTCAAGTAACGCTGTCAAGACTGATCTGCATCTCTAGAAAATTATCACTTTTGAGTAAAAACTTTCTTTAGATTATTTGGATGGGTGTTCCGAATATTGTCCTCAGAATAAATGCAAGGGTATTTGATGGCCTGGTTGTATATTACTGCTTTGTAAGTGTATTTTCCTGGGTTGCTGCAGGTGAGTGTGTTGGTTTGCGGATTTTTCTAGATGTTGTACATTATAACCAATTTTCGTCTTGGCCTCAGAGTCTAGGAAGATGATGCTGTTTTAAGACTGCTGGAGATAGTTTAATATTACGATTTTTGATACTGTTTATAACTGAATTTGTGATGGAAATAGATTAAAACACTATATTACTGATTCAAATAATAAAAAATGAATTTATGTATTTTAGATACAAGCATAAGTTTTATGGTGCAGCTATTTATAATTTTATACTCAGGGTAGTTCCTGAAAATGTTGGCATATTGTGAAAGGTTCAGAGTGTCTCTAGCTGCGCAGAAGTGTTAGCTATAGGACATAAAAGTTGTTTAAGGCTGAGGATCAAGCAAATGACCTTGACAGTATTGTCAGTCTGCAAATGTAATGATAGAATTCACCTCCAGTTTAAAATACCTGTATTTAGTTATCTCTTTGTATGCTGACCGTCTGATCTTCCGTTACAGTCAGTTCATCTTCCGTTACAGTCAGTTCATCAATGCAGCCTGTAGAGTGCTTCAGCCTACCCTCAAATAGGCACTTTCTGGTTAGTTGGGTTTTTTAATTATGAATGTTGATGGCAACTTTGTTCTATTTTCACTGCCACAGTAATTCTTTGCCTTCAGTAGGAAATACGAGGTGCATAAAGTTGACTGGACTTTACTCATAAATGGTATAGAGGGATTTTTAGAGCTAATTTTTGGATAACAGGGATTTTTTTCTTTTTTTTAATTACCTGGCTGGTTTCATGCTGTGGAGCAAGCTTAAATCCTTTTTAAAATTTATTTCAGTAGAAACATAATGAAGGAAATAGCATGTTAATGTTTGTTCTAGACAATAATACAAAATTAAATAGGTTATTGTCCTTTTCTATGATTCACAAACAAGATACTTGATTTTGACAGTTGGGTCTCTTCCCTCTGCAGAAATTTGGAGAACATCCAAATATCATCAAGCTGCTTGATATTATCCGAGCTCAGAATGACAAGGACATCTACCTCATCTTTGAGTCCATGGGTGAGACTTATCATTGCATCAGCCATTTAAATACAGCCCATCTTATGAGTTATCTTTGTTCCCTACTTTGATAGCAGTGTGTTGATGATTTACATGAATATTCATGTAAGTAGACATAGAAGTAGGAGCAGTACGGGGGGGTTTATATGTTAGTTGTGATTAGGTGGGAATAGCATTTTTCGAAACTTTAAAGGGAGTAAAAATTATATGAGAACTGGCTGGTTGAGATGAAGGAAAGACAGCAGTGAGCAACAAATTACAAGGCTTGTAAAGACAGAAGAGTTGCATATGGAAGAGACTATGTGCAATTTTGTTATAACAAAAGTATGCAATAATAGAACAGTTACTGTAGCATGAGCTGCAAGTCAAACGGATACTACCGAGAGATTGCAGTACTATTAGTAATTACAGTGTTAGCTTCTGTTGAGGATGCACTTGAAAGATTACAGTTTGGACAATGGTCTATTCTGGCTTTGCTTTCAGGAGTTTAGATCCACAACTTGGTAATCCTTTACTGATCTAATATATTACAGAGACAGATTTACATGCTGTGATTAAGAAGGGGAATTTGCTGAAAGATATCCACAAGTGTTACATTCTCTACCAACTTCTGAAGGCAACTAAATTCATCCACTCAGGAAATGTTATTCACAGAGATCAGAAGGTATATTTCAGTCAATAGTCTTTATCCTTCACTCAAGTTTTCTGTTAAACACTAAATGAAAAAGTATGAAAAGAATGAGATTAGTAAAAGAACATTGATAACAATCTTCTGCCATTCAGAGAGTAAAAAGCTTATTAATTTTCCTTTGTTCAATTCAGCCTTCAAATATCTTGCTGGATGCAGACTGCTTTGTTAAACTTTGTGATTTTGGGCTGGCCCGCTCTTTACATCAGATGAATGAAGACCAAGGCAACCCTGCTCTAACAGAATATGTGGCAACACGCTGGTACCGAGCCCCCGAGATCTTACTTTCCTCTCGGAGGTAACCGCTTAATATGAGCAAAGGGATGGGACTCTATCATTTCTTCACCACTGGGGAAAATGTATTGTCTAAAAGTATTAAATATTTTCATTTTAGATGTCACCAGATGCAATGTCATATCAGCAGTTCATTTGCTCAACATGCATTTAAACCTCAGTTCTGCAACATAAAAATCTCATAACATGTACATTTCCTTCCTGGGTGCTTAGATTATCCATTTACATACATTATCAGCTCAGCTGTTTGTCATCCTTTCTCCCACTAGACTTATTCTTTCTCCCCTTAAATCTGCAACTTTACAAAATTTGTTTAAGTACCTTAGTCCTCTTTTCCAAATTTAAGAAGAGTTTTTTGATAGACCTTCAGAAAATATTCTGTAGTCAAATGTTAAATCAGCTGCCTGTTAGTCAGGCTTAGTCTTTTTTTTTACTTAAATATACAAAATCTTATTGATCTGAAAAGGAAAATAAATATAGGTGGGGTTAGTATCCCAAATTTGAAATGTAGATGTTTTGCAAACTGTCATTTACCCATTGTTTGGCATTTACTTTGCCTAAGTAATTGTATCTACTTTCTAGATACATTATGCCCTGAAAACTCAGTTGTTTCCAAACAGCAACTTGTATCTTCACTGTTGGTCATATGAAAAGTATATATTACCTTGTCCTGGCATTTGCCTTTAATATATTTGTTTTTGTGGTTTCCTAGAATAGACTTCTGGTAGGATAAATCTCCTTTCTGTTTTTATGCTTGCCAGTTTCATGATTGCTGAATCTCATTCACTTTATAGTTAAAACTGTGAGCATTCATATTCAAGGAGTCATCAAGCTTGTTTTTCTAGCAAAATAAGCTAATGTAGATGATGTGAATACCAGGTACAGAAAAATATTTGCTTGATATAGTCCTAACTCTGTTCTATTCTTATTTGTAGTTACACTAAAGGTGTAGACATGTGGAGCATTGGCTGTATTCTGGGAGAGCTGCTACTTGGGAAACCTCTTTTTCCTGGAACATCAACAGTGAATCAAATAGAGCAGATCTTGAGGGTCATTCCTGCCCCATCCCCAGAAGGTAGGACTCTTCTACAGGGAAAGGTATTTAGAGAAGAGATTAAAAGAGTAAAAGAAAGCAGCCCAGCTGGATCAGGGAATAAGGTATCTCTTGTGAGTAATTCTAACATCTTTCCAAGGAAATTAAAGACTTAATTGTGAAATGTTAGTGTTAGAGGAAAGTAAGCCCATACTTGATTAAATGAGAAACAAGAACCAGGCCTTCAAAACATTTTTGAGATTTGTAAGAGGATAACAGTTTAAAACAGAGTACCATACTTCAGTGGGACTTGGGTAGTAAAAGTAAGTTGGACTTTTTGGTCTGGAAATCTAAACACAGAAGTGAAAGCTGGAGTAAATATATGTTAAATCCGAAAGGGATTATGGTGATGATGATTGTCTTCTATGACTTCCAGTCTAACAGCCCATACACTTTATAAACTTTTACAACATGTTGATATGTTCTAACTGGGCTAGCAAATTGTTTTTAGAAAAATAACTACCTTCAGTTTACGGACATAACCATTTTGGAGAATTCCATTCAAGCTTAAAGTTATTTATAGTTTTTATTAGAGATTTTGTTGCCGTGAATGAAATATGAATGGAAATATGTGTGTGAAAACACCAAAACAGGAGTTAGAAGAATAGCCAGCACTAATAACAAAAAATGCTATTCTATTCTCAGCAATACAATTGCGGAATGTGTTGATGATGTCATAATCAGAAAGTCTGCACTCTAAGACAAGACCACAGGACAAATGACTCCTTAGCAGAAGGTCCTATATTGTCCTTAGAACAGGACAATGGCTGCGAGGTTGCAGCATATCACAGGCACAATTTCTTTTTATTTTAGCCAAACAAGTGAAAACAGACACTTGTTCAAAACATTATTGCAAACAAGGAAAACCAACCTATGAGCAGCAACTTTGCCCAGCATTTATGGGGACCAAAGAAGCGAGATTCTGAAGCAAAGAAAAACATTCCATAGCAACTGTTGACTCTTGGAGAGTATGACATATGTGTTCAGAAAACAGTTCATCATCACCAATCAAAAAGAACCCCAGCAGGTGTGATGAAGAAATCAATAGCTGGTATCCCTTGTTCTCTGTGTCCCACACAAATGATCCTGGACAGATCATTTGATCTCAGATATCCTGGTGCTTCTGCATCTGTGGGTATAAAAGTGCAAGTTTATGAAATCTAAGATAGAATGAATAGGAATTGAGAAAATCAGCTTAAAAAATTTGCAAGTAAATAGTCCGTCCTCCTTCCATAAGATCTCCTATTGAGATTTTTTAGGATGATTTCCTACGTTAATATCAAATATTTGCTTTCCTTCATAAACTGTGTAACTGGTAATCCTAATCTTGGCATTAACAGTATCTTCTCATTATTGCAGATATTTTGGCTATGCAATCAGATTACAGGGCCTCAGTTATTAACTGCATTAGTTCACGGTAAGCCTTGTATGTTTGATGTGTCTCAGAAGTCAACAATCTACTGTATGATGTTGACAAAAAGTTCCCCTGAAGTTCACCTTCGAGTATTCACCAGCAGCAATGATTTCTGCTCTCTGCAGATTCACCTTCCCCCAGGGAAAGGATGTAAA